ATTTATCATGTTTATGTTTATTTATACATAACAGTAGTCTATAAAATGGCGGTTCTAGAGAACAATAGAATGACGCGACCTATTGTTCTCCAGAAAATTTTGCATGCTCAGCAATTTTCTATGCGATAAATGCCCATTGTCAAGGTCAGTGAAGCATCCTATTGTTCTCCAGAAAATGTTACATACTCAGCAATTTTCTAGCATTCAAAGGAACCGTGACCTATTGTTTTACCGATTAAAAATCCATTGTTATCTCAGATCAATTATTTCTATGCATTGCCATAGGTCAGTAATCTAGACAATCTATACATATTAAATATCTGTGGACACCTCACACCCCCTATTCCAGATTGATAATTTCCAAAACAGTCAAACACTTTGGGGTAGGTCCACTGTGGAGAATAAAGTATATATATATATATATATATATATATGTGTGTGTGTGTGTGTGTGTGTGTATAAAACAGTACAGTGTTTGTATGCACTGTCATAATATATTATAAAAAAAATCTATATATATATATATAGTAATGGTATGCTACTGCAACTGTTGTGTTTATGTCGGTGAATCGTTTGATCTTGTTATGAATGAATCGAAATGCGTAGAGTGTAAACAATTTGTATATATACAACGGACGGTGCATATTATGTGTATTTACAAATACAATAATCTCTGTACCTTTCAATTGATTGCAGTGGACGCTACAATTATTATTATTATGCTATGATTGAACGTTGACATGATATCCAATAACCTAATTAATATTTGTATGTAATCTTCCACAGAGATGCGAAAAAATACTCATATTTCATTTAAATTATATATATAAAAAAATATTTATCTGTATGAAATAATGTATTATAAAGAAAATGCATGCATTACAACGCGTGTATTGTGATAAACAATTAGACATTTATCAAATGTTTAATAAAATGCATTTTTTTTTACTCTGTATTGTGCTAAACAATTAGCTATTTATATACTGAATTATCAAAGTTAAAATAAGATATTTTTTGATTGCAAAAGTGTGTCAACATTTAATAGAAAAAATATTTACAGTGTATTTAATTATATGATACATATAATAATATTTCTATAGTAATGCATGTCATTATGATATAAGGCATATTTGAGACATCCTATAGATTCGGTTGCATCAAACAAAATGCAAAATTATGTGAAAATATGTACAGGGTTGCATATACTGTGATACAAAGTAGATGTATTACTGTGTAATATAGGCAAATTTTGCTTTACCCTATAGTTTCGGAGATGTCAAACGAATTGCAAAGTTATTGTTTAAGCAAAACTTGCAATGTTGCACCTAACTTCAGTTTAGTTAAAATTGATGAGATTAACAAAAAATATGATATAAGTACAAGCTGAATATTGCTTTTTGGGCATTCGTTCGCCGAATTTTCAGTTCACAAAGTCAACTAGCTCTCTGCAGTCTACAAACCATATACTACTCGCAGCCACCATTCTACTCGCTATACAAAAAAAAACGTATGTATTCAGTTGTATTATTATTTAACAAGTTATAAATATAAATCATTATTACTACTATATTAGAAAAAATAGGATTTATTAGAAATAATTATAATCTGTTTTTGCGTGATGACGAAATCGAATTGGACCTCCTTAATATATTTGCAGATCGAAATGTGTGAACATTTAACTTTTTATATGTAGAATTTAATAATGATAATGATATTGATGGTAGCACGATTTGCAGTGAACAATGTAATTACGCTGCTAAGTATCAAAATCGATTGCCACAAACTAAATGTGTATTAGTTCAGCAATGTACTGTTACACTTAATACAATAGTAATGTACTATATAATACACATCAACCCCGCACATCTGAGGTGTGCGGTTTGTAAAAAACAAATTTTCACATGGGAATCTGTGTAATGTGTATAAATACAGTATATTATTATTTTATTAAGTGTAACAGTACATTGCTGAACTATTTATATTTTGCACATATGTATATATTATAATTAATTAGAGTTAGATATTATAAATAGATTATATAGTTTTATATTGTATTATTTATTTTCACATTACTACATATCAGATCCTACCGAATCCATGTGTAAGTTAAATATATATATATATATATATATATATGAAAAATATGTAAAACATAATATAGTGAAAATTGAAATAATATTATTATTATGTCTTTAGTATTTAGCATAATATGCTTAAAAATTAAAAAAAGGTTAATCGATCATATCTTATGATAAACACATAATTAGTTAATGATGGAAAATGTATTTATATATACATATATCTGCTATAATGAGTTTTTAACGATAATTCGTCAATAGTATTGAATTATTAAGAGTTTTGTTTAACAATAAATTATACAAATTTTAAACTGATATATATTTTTTTTTTTTACTGTAAAATAGAATATGTTTTAAAACAATAAATATATATTATATATATATATATATATATATATATATATATATATATATATATATATATAATTGTAAACCTCTTGTTTTTAAAATTCGTTGTCCATAATAAATGTTCTCACTGTGAATCTTAAAAATATACTAACGACAAATTGTAATCACTTTAACACACACACACACATCCACAATAAACGTTGATTATATTAATTTGCTACAAATAACCCACGCAGAATACAAAAGTTTTTGCACAGGTAGAAAATATTTTTTCTAATGGAAGATTATATATATATTATATATTAAATAATATATATATATATATATATATAAATGTGTGCATTATAAAATACATGTCGAATGCGATGTGTTTTAATAATTATACGATATTGTATGTATACCCCTTATAATAAATAATTATACAATACAATATACTTATGCTGTGTGTGTAGCAATTAATTATACTTAAGGCAAATGCCATGATATAATAAAAATATGATGCTGTATGTATATCACTTATAATAAATAATTATGATGTTGGTGTAGCATTTAATTATACTTAATACAAATGGTATAATATTGCAAAAATATAATTATAAAAAAATATATTTTTAAATATAAATAAGTGTATGAAATAATATGTTTTAGAAAATATGAAACAATTATTGCAAAAGATTAACAAGCAAAAAAATTCAAATGTTTACATCAAAATGTGTGATTTAGAAATAGAAAAATCATATATAATTGAAAGTTTCACATCAATCGATACAATCCATGGAAAAGCAACAGTTGCCACTCTGGAAACAGACGAAAAATTAATTTTACCAAGACTAAAAATGAATGAAGACGAGTGTCAATCTTACAATATTAACAAAGAAAAGTTTAAACTCTTATACCATGGCAAATTGGGCCGAGCATACAATTACGATATTAATAACTGAATATATTCATACACTTTATTATAAGAAAATTTACAATGCATTATCATAGAAATTAGAATAAAATAACATTGTATTTTATATTTACAAATAATACAAATATTAATATATATCCATATACAAGTGCTTTGATTATTTTACTATATAAATACAAATAGTTCTTCATGGTTCATAAAAATAAAATTAAAAATATATATACTGAATAATATTGTTGATAATCATGTAAAAAAATGAATATGGCTGCATATTATCTTACTGTTGGGTAAAAAAAAATTGATTATGATTTGTATATTATCTTACTGTTTGGGTACACATATAAAGCTAAAATAAATAAATTTTAGTTAAAATACTATATCACACATTTTTTTAAATTTTTTGTTACAGAAAAATGAGTGATAATAAATTTATTTTTGGCTGTGGTGTGTCGTTCAAATCGAAAAGTGAATTGGATCAACATTGTTTATTTTTGGATAATCACAGACCATCTGTTATTTCAACCAATGTATCCTTAAAACGTACCAACACATGCGAATCTATTTTAGAAACGTTACAGAAAAAAATCACTAAACGCATATGTTTACAAACTCAAGGAAGTGGATTTGTACCATTGCAGACTGCACTGAATTTTCACGTTCAAACATACTTTTACAAAAACGATACATGTTTTGAAGAAATAAGTGAATTTATGATAGATGTATGTGATGAAAAAATTGAATTACTACAAAAATCCACATCAAACGGGCTTGTAAAATTCAATGTTGTTTTGCACGCCACAAATTTTCACCAAATAACTGGAGAGTCGAAGAATGTTGGATTTAAATCGTGCAACAAAAAAATTGACAACGCAACCGACTATCTAGAGTTATTTGAAAAAATAATAAAGAAATTGCGGTCCGAACGTGAATTGATGGAAGTTAAAGGATCCGGTTGGACTCTGCTTCTTCTCGACGGGTTGTTAGTTCGAATCCATAAATACACTCCACTAACAGGTTCTTCATACATAGAACTACCCAAATGTATCCAAAATAAAAAAGCAGTAATTAATGTAAAAAATTCCGACAACATGTGCTTCAAGTGGGCCATTTTATGTAAATATATTACTGGAAGTCGTAAAGATGTGTGGACACCACGATACATTGAATTAGAACGTGAAAAAAATTTTAACTTTTCGGGCATTGACTTTCCCACACCATTATCCCAAATAATTAAATTTGAGCGTAACAACTCATCAATTTCGATTAACGTGTTTGCACTGGACTCCAAAAACACTGTTTTCCCATTAAGAGTCACAAAAAAACGTACAACCATGACTGAACATATTGATTTGTTGCTGTTAACATCAGATGACAGTAACAATCACTATTGTTACATCTCAAACTTTTCTCGACTTGTACGGAATCAGCGTTCAAAACATGAGCATAAGGATTACTACTGCAAAAGATGTCTGAAGTCATTCCGGGATGAGCCACTTCTGTCTCAACCATGGGGTGCAACGGGTCTGGAAGAGCATTTGAAAAAATGTGAAAAGTTCAAAGAAGCAAGGGCAGTTCTTCCGGAACCGGGAACGGAACGGGCTATACTACAGTTCAATAACGTCCGCCGGGAAGAACCTGTCCCACTGATTGTGTATGCCGATATGGAATGTCTGTTGAAACCGGTCGACCAACAGCTTACAGTCAGTTCATGTATCAAGAATGAACATATATCAATTAGCTACTGCTTCTATGTTCGTCCAGACCCAAACATACTGCCCGACAACATATGCGCCGTGTTGCCAAAAGGACCAGTGTTGTACCGTGGTTCGGATGTTGCAAAACATCTTGTCAATGCTTTGGTGACTTTGGGCCGTCAAGTGATGGACATTATGAAAATAAACATTGAAATGTGCCAGTTGACTGCGGTCGAACAGGAAAAGTTTGACAAGACATCCCGGTGTGAGTCATGCTCGGTGTCGTTTGGCGATAAATGTGCAAAAGTTCGTGATCACAACCACTGGACGGGAAAGTTTAGGGCCGTTTTGTGCAACCGGTGCAACTTGCAAAGACGGTACCCAACGTTCTTGCCAGTGGTTTTTTATGAGCTATCCAACTATGACTCACATTTTATCATTCAAGAGTTGGCCTATGACACCGAGGACATTACTATAATACCACAGTCTGAAGAAAAGTACATTTCGTTCAGCAAGACCATTGGCGATCGTTTTCAACTCCGGTTCTTGGATTCGTATAGTTTTCAACAGGCTAGTCTGGCGAAATTGGCAAAAACACTCACCCGAGATGACTTTATCGAAACGGAAAAAGTTTTCAAACAGAACACCGATTTGGCCACGAGAAAATCAGTTTTTCCATACGAGTACATCGACTGTGTGGAAAAGCTCGACGAAACAAAACTGCCCGATATTAGTGCGTTCTATAGCAAATTATCAAACAGTACAATATCAGAGGCTGATTATGGACATGCAAAAACAATGTGGGACACGTTCGAGTGTAAAACCATTGGTGATTATAGTGACAATTATTTGCTGGTCGACGTAATGGTAAAAAAAAAAATTTGTTTTGTTTTTATCACAATATTTTCTTTTACTTACGAGTGTTTTGTTCAGGTTTTAGTGGATGTGTTTGAAAAGTTTCGGGTGGAGTGTTTGAAAAATTACAAGTTGGACCCCGCACACTATTACTCGTGTCCAGGTTAGATTATACATTAATTTTTTTTTTTTTTTACATGAAAAACAATTTGACTTAAAACTTTCACATAGGATTATCATTTGATGCAATGCTGAGGTATACCGGTGTAAAACTAGAGCTTTTAACAGACCACGATATGCTTTTAATGTTTCAACTTGCTATCCGTGGTGGCCTAACTTTAGTAGTGCAAAGACATGCCCGGGCGAACCATCCCGAAGTTGATGGATATGACCCATCAAAAGCTCAAACTTTCCTTCAGTACATAGATGCTACGAATCTATACGGATTTGGTGAGTACAACAAATATGCGTGTAAATAACACATGACTGATTTAACATGATTTAGCAATGATGCAACCTATGCCGTGCGGAGAGTTTGAGTGTACAGATGTACCGTTGGACGTGATCTTGAGCACGGAAGACGACAGCGACTATGGCTATCTCTTGGAGGTTGATGTCGATTACCCGCAGCGTTTGCATGATCTGCACAACGACCTACCGTTTCTACCGGTCAACGAGTGCCCGCCACTGAAAACGAGCAAGTACAGCAAGCTGTTGACCACACTCTCAACCAAGAATAAGTACATTGTTCACTACCGGGCGCTCAAACAGGCTGTTGAACACGGTCTGGTAGTGACAAACACGTACAGAGTAATAAGGTTTAAACAGTCTCGCTGGCTTGCTCCATATATTGAGCTCAACACAGAGCTACGGAAAAAGGTCACTACTGTCTTTGGTCAAACTTTACCAAAGACTATGAACAATTCGTGTTATGGTAATTGCTATACACTAATAATAATGAATAGTATTGAAATTAATTTACAATGATATTTACAGGAAAGACTTTGGAAAACATGCGAAACCACCAGATCATTCATTTGGTCAGCTGCCCCTAAAAGTTATCCAAACTGGTTGCCAAACCGTCGTTCAAAGACACTACCATATTTAATGAAAAGCTTGTTGCCGTGCACATGTACAAGGAAAAATCAACTTTTTCAAACCCATCTACATCGGACAGGCAGTGTTGGACGTCAGCAAGTGTACCATGTATGGATTTCACTATGACGTCATGTTACCAATGTACGGGGACAAGCTTTCATTAATTTATATGGACACGGATAGTTTCATATATGCAATAGAAACTTTGGACTTTCACCAAGATCTCAAAGACCACTTGCTTCAGTTTTTCGACACGTCCAATTACCCAAAAGATCATCCGTGTTATTCAGACGTGCGGAAAAAGGTGCTGGGCACGTTCACCGACGAAGCAGATGGTCTACACATGCAAGAGATTGTGGCCCTCTTGCCAAAAGTATATGCATATGTCCTGGCCAAGCAGTATGAACAACAGCAGCAATCGTCAGCCATTTGTCCAGTCAAAAGACTGAAAGAAATTAAAAAGCTCAAGGGTGTTACATCGGGTGTTGTTGCAACAAAGATAAACAAGAGTGATTATCTGCAGACTCTAAAGACACGTCTAACTCAAACACACAAAGTTACAATGATACGGTCAAGACTGCATAAAGTCATCACCATGGACACGCTCAAACGATCATTGAGTGATTCATATGACAAGAGGGCTATGGTTGGTGGATCACAAGAGTATCCCAACGTCTACACTAAGGCTTGGGGACATTATTCACTTGAAAACAACAACAGCAATGACATGGATGAATAATTTTATTTTATTTTATTTTTTTATCATTGATGGATGTACAAATTTGTATTATAAAAAAATAATTTTTATAAACAATTACATAACAAATTATTAAATAAACTGTATAATATGTACATTTTTAAAATATATTTTTACAAAAAATGAAATTACGATTTTTTATTTTTTATTATACAATCACGAGTAGTCTGTAAGCCATTTTTCAAACAAATCACTTTGTATAGACTGCATGCACTGTAGTTGTTCATGTGTCGAATGCAGCACAGATCTGAACTCTGGTGTAGTGTTTTCAACGGTGAACAGCCCAAATCTTCCATTTCGACAACATGCTGACTGGGTAAGTACTGTTGGATTACTTCTTTTTTCTGTGAGCCCTTCACGTAGATGACTTCGCTGCGCAACAATTTCATAATTCTCGGCAGCTCTGCGTACTCTACATCACCACAAGACGTGTCCATCCCGTGGTGGTATAGTTTCAACTAACGGTTTGTTTTTGTGTCACTGACCACTGTGGAGGGGTGTTTAAACATCCAATGGCTAATCGACGTAGAGTCCATTGCAACGACCGACATCTCCTTGACCACAAACGTTGACTTGACACCATCAATGGCTACGACTCCTTGTATGTCGACAATCATTGCGGATAAATATCGGTTTTCGGTTTCCATGAGTTGTGTTCGGCACCGAAACCCAGCCACTTTACAAAACACTGGTTCCCTCGAGTGCGCAACACTTGTTCGACTTAATACGAGTCTGGGTACTGTGTGCGCTGTAGTTCTTCAGTGTAGCATTTACCCGATATCGGGTTGCCTTGGTAGTCTTCCAAATAGTATGTTGGTGGGACTGTGTGTGATACTTTTACCACTGTAAACAGTTCATTGCTCCAGCTGGGCAAGTAACTCTTAACACAAACTGATTTTAATTTGCTTATTCGTACAATTTCACCGACTTTGTACCGGACCGGCAGGTTATCGGGTATTTTGCGCAACTTTAGTTGAACACTGCCCGGGTTTTTCACAGCCTGAACCGGAGTTATGCCAATGGTACGGTGCCGATGGTTGTTGTTGTATTCGTAAACTAGTGAGGGCAACAGTTTTGCTGCCCATTTGTACGATCCTTGAGCAGTAAAACTGCGTCACATCAAAGCTTTCAAAGTCCGATTCCAGCGCTTGACCAAACAAGCCTTCATGGTTGAGTATGTCGAGTAGTGTTTTACACCATACTGACGCATAAGTTCTTGAAAAGCTGCATTATGAAATTCTTTACCAGCATCCGTCTGAAGAAAGCTCGGCTTTCGACCCTGTGTCAGTATACTGCGCATTGCTGCTGTAACTTTTGCTGCAGTCTTGTCCCGAACCAGTACGGCCCAAGCGTACTTTGAAAACCCGTCGATACACGTGAGAATGTACCGGTACCGTTGGTCTGGATGTGCACCCATTTCCACGAGATCGGCATGCCACAAGTCGTCAAGTCCTTTGATGTTGATTCGCTGTCGTGTGTAAACCCTCCGGGCCTGACGATGCAACTCGTGTGCAATCTTTGTCTTCATCTCGACCACCATCACTATACTGTAGTCTTCAGTGACTGAGGTATTCCATCAATGTACCCGGCTTCGGTGAGTTCTTCAAGTATAGCCACAACCTCGGGTGACACTCCAGTGTTGCCTGCCGATCGGGCTGCCATGAGTAATCTTAACCGATCGACAAGTTCGTTTGGGTTGTCCCAATATAAATACTCTTTGCTTACAGCAATATCAGCAGCAGCAGCAGAGTTTGGGTTAAGTCTCAACTCGAGACCGGAACCATCATGAAACATTGGGCTAATAATATCTCTGTACTTGTGACCAATCTTCTTCAACGTATTGTTCCTTGTCAAATGTACGCCGGATTCTGTTAAAATTTGTTTGTACGCATCCAAATCGCTTTGCTTGTACAAACCGGGTTTTCTGGAACACAACAATTGCACCAGTCCCATGGTCAACGGATACTCCTTTCCGTTTAGGACAATGTCAGTATCGGTTATTTTCACATCTCTGACCCATCCCATCCCTATTTTGTCATTTACAAGTGACAGTCCGAACTGTCTCTGATTGGACTTTTCGTCCATTGTGCAATGTAATCACTCCATTTTATCTCAACATTATCCTGATTGTCAACTTCATGATCGTTGGTCAATTTCCATTGTTGTTGTGCAATCACATCCAATGGCTCGATAATCGGTGCAAATGTTTTCTGAACATGTGTTTGAGTTTCGGCCTCGTCGCGACGCAGTGCAAGATATTTGAGTTTAACGTTTTCCCGGGCCTCGGCCAACCGAGCGAGAATCGCATGCTTTTGTTTATTGTCTTCACCAGCACCACTGGCATTGTCTTTTTTCTCCATTGTCAACATACGACTGCGTGTGTGTACTGAGTGAATCGCAACTAAATGGTAACGTACGTGTCGAATTTGTATCTGTACCGACCGTTGTCCCGCTTAGAGTCTAAACATATCACTGCAAACCCATAGCGATCGCGGTGCCAACACTGTTGACAAAACTCTTTAAACTGATCGTATTTCATGTCTCAACTGGCGTACTCGTCGTAAGCGTGACGTAAATTCACATCATCTTGACGGAACAATACGATAAGGTTTGCATTGTCCCGGAGAACTTGTTTTTGGATTTTGGACAGTGTTTGAGCGAGAAAAAACACATCGACACCCTTGTGTCGTCCTCGGGCAAAGTAATCACAAATCACGTTTTGTTTCTGAGTCAGCACATCGTCAAATATGAACACACTATTTGGGCGAACCTTGTCCACTGGAGGTACTTCTTCGGCATCTTGATAGGTAAACACTCGCATGCCTTTGACTCCGTTTAACACATCCATGAGTAGTTTGTACTTGGACTGATGTAGCGATTTTGAATAAATGTAAACGTTTTCAAATTTCACACCGTTCAAATCGGTCAACAGTACAAACATTAAGTTTGTTTTACCGCAATTCGAAGGTCCACAAATCAAAGCTCTGATTGTGTTTGGTAAAAGTTTTCCGTGTTTTGACACTGCCGCTGCGGTTCTTGTGTCATCGTCATAGTTGACCACCGGTAGCGTAACTGGTTGTTTTTCGAATCGCATCGCTGTTCATATATACACACAACACACGTCAGTAGAGTATAATTACTGTTGGTGTCAATGATGCGATAGACTATTGTTAAACAGTAAAGATGTCTGCAATTAAAGTTCAGAGACGTCGTCGGTACCGCAGCAGTGGTTCGGGTATTTTAAATTCAGTCATTGACAACCTTCCGTTTGAAGCACACGTGCCTGGTTATCAGTTTGCCGGTCCCGGTACGAAATTGGATAAGCGATTGGCTCGCGGTGATTGCGGAATTAACCCTTTGGATTCGGCTTGCCGTGATCACTACATTGCATACTCTCAGAGTAAAACACTCGCTGACCGACATCGTGCCGATCAAGTTTTGAAACATCGAGCGTGGGACAGAGTTAAAGCAAAAGATTCAAACATGAAGGAACGTGCAGTAGCTTGGGCCGTGACAAACGCAATGAAAGTGAAACGAAAGCTCGGCATGGAATTCCGAAGAGTTGTGGGTGCAGCGAAGCGTGTCGACAGCCATCCGGACGATCTGATCATGGCGAAGAGATCGATTTTGGCAGCAAAACGTGTGATTGTGAAAAAAGTAAAGCCCGGTGCAAAGAATAAGAAGAAAAATGTACGTTTGCCACGGACGATTGTAGTGCCAAAAGTCGGTGGGGTGTTACCACTCATTCCAATTTTTGCTGGACTCTCGGCCTTGGAGCTTTGGCCGGAGGAGCTGCAAATGTGGTAAAAGTTGCCAATGAAATTAATAATCGTCGCGGTGCCGGTGCCGGTGGTCAACCATTGAAAATTGGCAAAGGATTCTATTTGCGTCCGTACAAGTCGGGTTCGAGTTAAAAATTGGTCAGCAGCAGCAGCAGTGGTGGTAAAAGAACCGTCAGAAAGCGTACCAAACGTACAAACACGAAGAATGCAAATTGACTAATTGCCAAGCTACCCAATCGTGCACTGTTTGATTTTGAAATATCGAATTTTGCAACACGGAACAATATACCGAGATTTCGAGGAGTGTTTTGCCGGGACACGCTTCCACGTGTACCGTACGCCTTAGAAACGGATGTCATTAATTTGGACTTGGAGCGCAATCCCGGTACACATTGGGTGGCTTACCGGAAGCAAGAAC